AAAACAAACCCATGTCCTCCACAGATTTCCAAAGCAATTAGTCTGGAATGTGCAGCCTCAACCAGCCCCTTCTGTGTATGTGGCTTTGCTCAGTCCATCCCTTCCCCCCTCCCTTGCTCAAAACTTTTCGTTCCCAAAGGTAAAGAGAAAAAACTCAAAGCAGGGGCATTTTTTCTTTGACACAAGAAAACCTATGACAAGTGCTAAGAGTGGTCCACCAGTTGTACATGAGAGGCCAAGGGTAAGGGCTTTCTTTCCTGAGGGGAAGGGCTTTTCAGAGCCCTGTGCTGAAATTGCCAGTCCAACTCCCAAAACTGAATATGGACCAAGATTCCTCCCTCACAAAATGTGCCAGGACAGAAAGGTCTTGCTGCTTATGGAGTGCATAGGGTCCCTGACTTATGGGACTGTCTGTTAGAAGGTGGCAGACCACCTGTAAAACACAAGAAACAAAGGATGTACACAGATTCACCACAACACCTGTAAAAGACCATCTGGGGGTGTGTCTGGAGCGGCCTGGAACCCCTCAGAGCCCCTTTATGACTATAGTGATGCAGATTATCCCCTTGCAGTCCATAGAAGACCATTGGGGTGCAAAGACACACCCAACACACACACACCCGATGGAGGAGTAACCCACAGGACATCAGACTCACAAGAACTGCTGTCCGAGGAGTGGACTCAAACTGATTACAAACCCTCTTCCCTGCCACACCGCTTGCTAGGGGGAGGAGAGAGAACTTGGAAAAAAGCAGGGATGGGGGGGGAAGGTGTTGAGTTTTATTTCTCACTCTTTAAGTCTTATCCTGTAAGAAATAAATTTAAGTTCTATCCCCTTTGAGACTCTTTTGCCTGTGAAAATTAGTTAGTAAGCAAGTTTCCCAGTTCTTATCTCTACTAAGGAATTCCTCAGCTGCTTTTTTTATCCTCTCCTCTGCCAGTGGCAGAGGGAGGGTGATTTCAGTGCTTTTGGTGAGTATTTGAAATCCGGCCAGGGTCAAAACCACAACAACTTGTTTTATAGACAGGGGCAGATTTGAGAGTTTAGTGGACATAGGCGTGGACATCTCTATCATAAAGGACACTGAGTGGCCATCAGACTGGCCCACTGTATTTCCTGCTTCAATTGTCCAAGGGGTTGGAGGTATGCAGAGGCCTAGGCAGAGTGCACAGTGTTGGGGCCAGAAGGGCATATTGTTAGAACAGCACCTTTCATTGCTCCTGTGCACTCTGTGGGGAGAGAAGTCTTAGGCCAATTCAGCACTGTTATGCAGATTGCAACCAGGCTCCTTTGAGCCTTGTTAGCTCACCATCACAGTCTTTTACGTCACCTTACACAAGTGCATCCCTGTTCTTGCATTCACTGTTCTCGAGTTTTCTCTCACAATA